GTGTGAATGGGTGTTTCCAAGTACTGGGTTGCAGCTGGAAGTGCATCCGCTGTGTAAAACATATGCTGGAATAGTTGGCGGTACATTCCACTGTGGCGACCCCTGATGATTAAAGGGACTAAGTGAAAAAAATGAATGAATGAATATTGTATCTTTAAAATATCTATTTATAACTACGTGTATATACCTATAGATCTTCATATTATATATATTTAGCTTATAAAAGTATAGAATCATTTCAAATTACATTTGCGGGCATCATAGTGGCGAAGTGGATGGCACGATCGTCTCACAGCAAGAACCCTGATAAATAATGGGGCTAAGCCGAAAGGAAAATAAATGAATGAGTATTATGTTTTCAAGATTAATTTAAATGTTATTTTTCTGTAAAAAAAAAAAAAAAAAAAACCCTGGGTAATAAATATATGAATTATTAATATTTAACATTCACTTTCCAAATACAATGTTATATAAAGTAAATATCAATTCTATATTAACATATCAATTATTAACAATAGTATTTATTTTCATTTCAACCAAATGTTTATGTGCAAGAACACTGAATAAGATCTTATAAAATTATCAAAATCATTTCAAATATTAATTCTTACATTTAATATTTCATAAAATAAAAATAATCTTACTAATCACCTTAAGCACAAGACAGACAGTATTGTAATGTGTCCTACAAAAATAAAACTATTTATTTCTTATAATTCATTAATTCGTTTTCTTTTTGGCTTATTAATCAGGGGTCGCCACAGCGGAATGTACCGCCAACTATTCCAGCAAATGTTTTACACAGGGGATCCCCCTTCAACTGCAACCCAGTACTGGGAAACACTAATTTACTCTCATTCACACACATTCACCATGGCTAATTTTGTTTTCCCAATTCCCCTACAGCGCATGTGTTTGGACTGTGAGGGAAACCGGGGCACATGAAGGAAACCCACACCAACACGGGGAGAACATGCAAACTCCACACAGAAACACCAACTGACCCAGCCAGGACTCGAACCAGCAACCTTCATGCAGTGAGGCAATCGTGTAACCCACTGCGCCACCGTGCCGCCTATTTCTGATAGTTTAAGTATTATTTTTTTATTAGTCATTCATTATTAATATTAATTAATTAAGAATTAATAATAATAATAAGTATTACACTATTTAACTTTAAACTATTAACTGCTAGGTTTCAATTAAAGTCTTTCATTTGAAAATAAACCCTCAGTGATCATCTGAAGTACTTTATTATTCGCTCATTGACTAAGCAGGAAAAGGGATTTAATGTTTCAGTCCATCATCAACTAGTCCTGCTCAACTAGTCTTCTCTGGTAACGAGCTGAATTCCCACGCAGAGATTCATTAACCTTCATAAACAGCCTTAAACTGCGCCGCTGCATCATATGCTCAGCGGATGTGATTCTGCGGCCGCGCCATCTGCGATAGAGCCCGTTAACATGCAAATAAAGCAATTAAAATTCACACCGCAGCACTGACGACTGCAACCCGTTCACCGGCGGAGCCTCGTGAGCCTCGTGATGGTCAATGCAGAAACACCGCGCATGCATTCATTAACATTTGCTGGCACGCGCTCTTGGGGCTCTTAATTGATTACAGCTCGGTTTGCAGGTGTGTGTGTGTGTGTTGGTCATTCTGGCCACATGCTTGTGTTAATTATCTAGTGTTGAACAGGAGAATGCACACTCTGAACAATGTGTTTTTGTGTCAGTGTCTCTGATATTCGCCAGTGAAATGCCTGCGCTATTAAAGCAGTAATTAGTGTAAAATTATTAAACGCATGCAGGGTGCTCTTTACAAAAAGATGTTTTAAAAAGTAAATCACATGATCTTTCAGGACTCACTGTTGTGGAAACTGTGATACATTTATCTTTCAGGATTCGCAGCCTCTATTTGAAATAGTAGATCGTCACCTTGGAATGATAAGGATCTGTCTGTGTTCTGAATGATTTTGAGATATCGAGGTTCAAAGTTTTTGCATTCCATAGCAGTGTGTGTGTGTGTGTGTGTGCAACTAGTATGCGTGTAACATTTTTTAAATAAAAAGTCTTAAATGTAAACAACTTATAAAAAAACCATCACATAATGTAAATAAGTCTTCATTTAATAAGAACATGCCAATAACTCAATTAAGACAAAAATGTCAGATGGAACCTTATAATTCTAAGGTGACAACATGTTTATTAATGTATTTACTGTATTTATTTTTGATCCACTTTAGGTGTCTTTGATGAAGAAATGTATTATTGTTATTTTTAATAAATGCACTATAGATTTCTTCAACACAAAACGTATTAACCACAAAATTTAATCAAACTATAACATTTGCTTTTTTTGAAATTTAACGAATACACAGACAGATGCATGAATAAACAACAACTAACCAACTAACAAAATAAACAAACGAATTAACTAACAAACGAACGATCAAACAAACTAACAAATTAACAAACTAAGGGAACGAATAAATGAAGTAACAAATGAACTAACTAACTAACTAACTAACTAACTAACTAACTAACTAAGTAACAAATGAATGAACAAATTAACTAACTAACTAACTAACTAACTAACTAACTAACAACCAACCAACCAACCAACCAACCAACCAACCAACCAACCAACCAACCAACCAACCAACCAACCAACCAACCAACCAACCAACAAACAAACAAACAAACAAACAAACAAACAAACAAACAAACAAACAAACAAACAAACAAACAAACTAACTAACTAACTAACTAACTAACTAACTAACTAACTAACTAACTAACTAACTAACTAACTAACTAACTAACTAACTAATGAATGAACTACTAAACAAATTAACTAACTAACTAACTAACTAATTAAGGAACAAATGAATGAACTACTAAACAAATTAACTAACTAACTAACTAATGAATGAACTACTAAACAAATTAACTAACTAACTAACTAACTAATGAATGAACTACTAAACAAATTAACTAACTAACTAACTAACTAACTAACTAACTAACTAACTAACTAAGGAACAAATGAATGAACTACCAAACAAATTGACAAAGTAACTAACTACCTAGCTAATGAACAAATGTATGAATTA